CTTGTATAAAGAATGCATTTTTAAGGGCGACATAATCATATTTAAGATAAAGAGCGATATAACTTTACTTCTAAGTAATTTATAAGATTCATACATGCTAGAGTACTTTTGCCTTCCACAACGAACAAGAACGTACCTTTTAGATGTGGGTAATCTATACAGTAATTAACAGCAATAGCGAGGAAAACAGCATGCCAGAAAGGAGTCATTCTTGCATTCTTGCACGTCACATACTTGGCTCTATAGCTGTGCCATACTCGAGACATTCCTCCCCAAATATTCGTCGGATTTGTGTTACGAGCGAAATAGTCTCCTAAATTGCGTAGCTTGGTATCTCCAAAGGACGTCATCTTTAAAAGTGAGACTTTTCTATGAAGAAATCCAACAGAAATCTGCACAGTTTTCGACTTATTCCAAACAACCTTTCTCCTCTAAACCAAGATGGCGGCAAGAGGAGTATTATGGTCTGGATTTAGACCCATAATCCTTTGTTGTGTCATAACTGCTGCCAAGTAGTGCGGGCTCATAAATACAAAATGTTTATTTTCRTRAATGTGTTYTTCATATTTTTGTCCGCTATTTTACTTTTAATTCTCTTTATAAGAAATCGAAAGAGTAATTCAATGAAAAGGGTAAGTGTAGTRGTWCTTGGAGATGTTGGAAGAAGTCCTCGGATGCAAAACCACGCGCTGTCGTTTGCAAAGGCGGGCTTTCACGTGGACTTGGTTGGCTTTGGCGGTAAGAGCTTTCCTCTCGTATGCATTTTATTAAAAGGTTTTAAAAAACACAATATTTTTCTATTAATTGTAGGATCCCGTTTGATTAAAGACTTAGACGGTCACCACAATGTATCACTATTTCTCTTGGGAGATTTTCCTTCAAAGTTATCAAGTAAGAAGTTTTAAAAATGTCATATCTGGGATATCTTATATTAAGTGCTACGTGTATGAAGCAGGCTGTGCATAAGATCGGGGTCTGTTTTGAAATGATTTGGTATCCCTGTGTAATTTGGGAATTCTGGGTAATAAACATTGGGTCGTAAAAATGTTGGATTATTGTTCACATTAATATGTATATTCTGTCTGATTGCAGAGTTGCCAAGAATGCTATATTACCTTGTCAAGGCTAGTTATCAATTTTTACAATTGTTTATGGTCCTGTTTAGCTGTGCAATTCATAGTTCTCATGTTGTTGTTCAGGTGAGGACAATATTATCCATTTCATTCACTTTCATACATACATTCCTTCATTATCAAKTATTGTTATTTATTATTGTTATTTATTTATTTACAGAATCCTCCAGCTATCCCTACACTAGCAGTAGCTTGGGTAGCCTGTGTCATTTGTAATGCTAAGCTAGTCATAGACTGGCATAACTATGGTTATACTATATTATCCCTTGCCTTAGATAATCCTGATCATTTATTAGTCAAAATTGCAAAATGGTGAGTAATAAAAWTTAAAAAAAGCTCTCGCTRTGTGGTATTTAATTTAAAATTTAGTAAATAACTCCTGCTCAAAATGTGTCAACTRTACTCACAGGTATGAACATGGGTTYGGAAAGATGTCAACCTTGAATTTGTGTGTTACAGAGGCCATGAGAGAAGATTTGTTGTATAACTGGCAAATAAGGTACTTTATACAGTATGTAATTATTTCAACAATTCTATTAAAATCATACTTGATAAATTGTACTTCTTTTCAGGGCTAACACTTTATATGATCGTCCTCCTGAAAGGTTTAAATCAGCAGAACTAGAAACAAGACACCAGGTRAGTTGYTCAACATATTATCAATATGAAGTCATTTTCAGCCATATTTTSTTTGGTTTGCACTTTTTGGGCATATAATATACATGTAGAAGAAAGGCATGTTGCAATAAAATCTTGTATGACGTGGTTTATATTAACACTTATAATATGTATTTTAGTTATTTATTAAGCTATCCAATGAATATCCTGAAGTTTTTGGACAAAAAGACAGGTATACGACATTTATTCATTCATTTGTAACTTTGTTTTTGTTCATTGGTATGCTCATTCATTCATCGTTACATTAGTTTCTTTTGTTCTTCCCTGAATCCGTTCATTTGCTCTTTCATCCATTCATCCATTGATTTGCTGATGCATTGGTTCATCTATTTATTATGAACTCATCTGTCTRTTCCCAAGTGCCCATTCATTCAAATTCCAAACATCTTAACTTTGTTTATTTTTACTTTAGGCTCTCAGAGTTTGCCATCAAAGTTGTTGAGGAAATTACAGCTTTTACTGTTAGAAATTCATTAGGAAAAGTGATTGAAAGAGATGATAGGCCAGCACTTCTTGTCAGTAGTACAAGTTGGACAGGTATGTAAGATTGTTTTAAAACACCTCTCATGACTTATGGCAACCTGCACATTAATGATTGTTCATTTACATTGTATTTTTTCAGAGGATGAGGACTTTTCTGTGTTGTTAGATGCTTTAGAAGGTAAGAAATATAAGACATTTCTGTTACATGTATAAAAGTCAGCCAATGACAATTTTCTTTCTCTTTGTCATTTTTCTAGATTATGAGAAACATGCCACTGATTCAAATTCYAATTTACCAAGACTAGTTTGTGCAATAACAGGTATGATTGATTCTTTTTTTGGTGTGCATTTGATCCCTCTCCTACACCTTAAAGTCCAATTATTGTTGTTCTCTGATATGACTTAGGTAAAGGTCCATTGAAGGARTACTACCAGAATCTTATAGCTGGAAAACAGTTCAAGTTTGTAAGTGTCTGCACACCCTGGCTTGAGCCTGAGGACTACCCAAGACTCTTAGGTTTGTAATCTGTTGACTAGAGTTCTTCCCAGCATGTTCTTGTGTTGGGATTCCTGTGTCTCCTCACACAGGAATCCCAAAACTCAAGCAAAGTTGTTTAGGAGATGAATGTATGGTACGTTTTTTCTCAAAATCTAATTATTTTTCATTGGTTTATTTTAGGTTCAGCCAATCTGGGTGTGTGTTTACATAAATCCTCATCTGGTTTAGATCTACCAATGAAGGTAATACAATGGTGTAAATTCGATTTCTCCATGAAAAAAAAAATGATTTTAGTTGTAATAATGGCTCATCATTGCCTTTATTTGTAGGTTGTTGACATGTTTGGGTGTGGTCTCCCTGTGTGTGCTATTGATTTTAAATGGTAAACCTATCTTTAATACTCTACTTATATATTATACTATAACTGGTGTACTGTTTTTATCGAACCAGATTGAATTTTAATAGCTAATATTCTCTCCTTCCATTTAGTCAAGTACCAAAAATGTTTTGTTTTGCAGTATAAGCGAGCTTGTCCATCATAATGAAAATGGATTGATATTCAAAGACAGCAAAGAGCTTTCCAAGCAAATGAAGGTAATAGCTTGTAATGCCTATTTTATATGATAAAAAAATAAGAAAAAGAATGGTAAGCACTCTCATACTCATCTTCTTTAGCGATGTGTTTTCACATGAAGATAAGCTTCATTTACATGTGTATTTTCTGCAGGAGCTCCTCACTGGTTTCCCAAAGAGTCAAACTAAACTACAAGCCTTTCGAGATAATTTGAAAGGTTTTCAGGAATTGAGATGGGATGAAAGCTGGAATAACGTTGTCCTTCCRCTATTAGGGAGATAGTACATACCACTAGCTTARCAAGTAAGTAGCATAGATTAATGATTATATTTGTATAGAGAGAATAATACTATTATATGCAAGTTATAATTAATTTTATAATTAAAGCCCGGTGGCTATTTTGAGAGCTATTTTTAGCAATCAAGTATTTGTCACGCAGTAAAAGGCCGAGTATGTGACATTGTTTAGCGATTTTCTTGCGAAAAATGAAATATTTTCAAAAACCAATTGCAAAGCGATTGTTACCTAATCGTACCTTATCAATATACAAAATATGAAAAGATTTGATTTTTCGAGCCTTGCCAAAAATTTTCAATTTTGTCTTGTTTTTGCGCGAAGCGGCTCTTAATAATTTGGTACAGACTGCAGATGATGTACRTTTTTTATTATTAATTTCAGTGGCTTAGTTTTTGTTTCGTTTTCTTGTAGTTTATTTGTCTTTTTGAACGAATACTTTCTAATTCACTATATTGGAAATATACGCAATTTGCTTTTACTAATTGCCTTGTTGCTGTAGTGATCATTGGATTGCAAAAAAAAATCCTGTTGACATAGATGAGAAAAGGAGAAACCCCTGTGGCATAGWATCATGTGTCTACGTACGATAGTCTTATTAACATTGTCAAAAAAAGAACAGAAATGAAAACCACTTTAGCATGAATTAATTAAATCGAAAATTAGAATTAAAAAAACATCGTTTCGAAGTATAGGTAGTACGGACGAAAGAAATGGATGAGAAATGGAGGAAATTGGATAAATGAGAAATAAAATATTGAAAAACAAAACTTGGAAGTAAAGGTACTAAGTATGTAGAAGTCGAAAAGGTTTTAACCTTTCTTAAAAGAAAGAACAATGCATAAATGAATTACACGTGATCTCGTAAAAACCATCGCGATTCTTTCCTTATCTGTTTGGGTTTATAAAGATTTGGCAAGATTTTCGACACGACTCGATAATCTGTAGGATTAACAGGACAAGTTGTTTCACATTAACCTACTTATCATTTCAATGATGTCGATATATTAACCAAAGACTGCCTTTCTATGTCTGTGTGGCTACCGATATCTGAAGATTTAGGTGACTGATCCGGCATTCTTCTATCTTTTTGTAAAACGTGTCACCCCTCAAGCAGTAAACCACTTATTATGCATTATATTCTGTTGCACCCGGTGTATTTAATAGGAAAACAATATGGTGTACTTGGATTTATGGAAATATTGCTATTTCACTCTCAGGTTTCGTTTTTATTGTATCTTCTAGCTCTATTCTTCTGTTTTCATTGATATAATTTGTTTTACTCTGCTTCATATTTCTAATTTCATTGTTATTATTTTTTCGTTATTTTCATTTAATCTATTTATATCATTTTTTTAATATTCATTATCATCTGCAAATTAAAGACCTTGTTTTTTGCTTGAAGGCTGTTTTTACCGACGATTCATGTACGTTTTCCCTTGCTGATACTATCGTTTGTTATTTTGTATATTTATGTAAAATATCATTTGTTTTCTTTTATGAGGCTTTTTGGGGTTGGCGCTGTCATACGTRTTTTTCTTGATAAGCCAGTTTGGATTTCCGACGACATTCTCTGTCATTTACCTCGAAAYAGCTTGAAATATAAAACCCTCTTGTTACCCTGAGGTCATTAGGCCTAGACGAGTTTCCTATAGTATCCTGTGCTGGCAAAATAACCAGGCAACCAAAAATCAAACCATCGCAACTATTTGACCTCGAACTCTCAATTTCCAAAATGTTTAAGCAATTATATGCAGCACGTTTTAGTCTGGGATRGAACAAGAAGGAAATAGCTGTTAGTCTCCATCATGGCTAAAAATCTTGATCATTTTCCATATTTGGGCATAGCTGAAACCATCTGTTTCCCTAGCTGACGTTGAACAATCAAAAGTACTTTACAAAAAGTCCAGCTTGACTCAGTTACATGTTGAACTAGTGGATTTACAAGGGAACTCGCACGGAACCATGTGGGATTGCCTCGCTCCGGTGTTACAATTTTTATGTTAAATATTCAAGATTGAAGTCGAATTCTCTAAAAGTGTCATTTTTGAGGTTGAATTAGTGTTGAAATGACAAAAGTTTTTTTTTCTTTTGACAAAGAGAAAGTTCTATTGTCTATTGAGTTTCCTGAATGAATTGACTACCGGTCCGATATTCATAATCAGTAATGATATCATTCAAAGTGGCGCTGTAAAATCGTATTCAACTTTGGCTAAATTCATAAAATTTCCATTTTCTAACACCACCATGTGCTTTAAGGTTGTTAATYATCTTTATTACAAAATTAATTTTAATTRAGTAATATTCAGCGAGTGCTGTTGTGGACGCGACGCAACAAGTTTCTTGTTCAATAATCTTAAAAATCTCCCCTKATTTCTTCGATGTTTTTATCTACAATTCCTTGGAATTGTGGTCCAATTAATTCGAGTTTGAGATAAGGTTTTCTAGTGTTAGTCTTAAATGTTTTATGACTTGCCGCATTTATTTATTCAGCCACGTCTCGTCCTGTTGGTCCATTTGCCAACACGCGGCTTGCCGGCGAGGAAAGATGAAAAAAATCCACAACATCACAAAAAGACGCAAAGAAATCATTCATGTTGAAGAGAAATTGAAGACCCGGTATCATGATAACAAGAATTAAATTGCCGACCAAACAAAGCAACTACTGGTGTTTTTACTGTGTATTCTTTGTTCTCGTTCTGATTGTTGATTAGATTCTCCCTACGTCAATTCCCTCGTGTTTATTAGCATTTTCCTCACTGATTCCACGCCTTCTTGAATGATCGTATTTCACGCTGAATAAGACCCAGACAAGTTGATAMTTTCGACCTCAGTACTATTTGAGGCGGAATCGCTTTCTCTTTTCATAAACTTCTAGATTTTCCTTGGTGGGCCTCCGTCTCAAGATGCCTGAAACGGCGAAGTGGAATATTGGTCTTGTAAATCACGCTTCACGCTACCTTACCGTGGAAACCTTTGGATTCAAGCTAAACGCCGATGGAACTTCACTTCGTAAAAAACAAATGTGGGTTTTAGARCAAGAAAGCGACGAAGGAATTTACTTCAAGTGTCATCTAGGAAGATATCTAACGGCCGATCCAAAGGGGAACCTGTGTTGTGAGGCAACTGAAAGAGAGCCGAATGCTAAGTTTACAATAGTTGCTCAAGACGGGAAATGGGCCCTGAAAAGCGCGCACAACGCCTATTTTGGTGCTACTGGCGATCAGCTAAAATGCGTCGCAAAAATTGGTAAAGCTGAGCTCTGGACTGTGCATCTTGCTATGCACCCACAGATCAATCTAAAAAGCGTTCTGCGAAAACGCTACGCTCATCTCGACGAAGGAAGCCAGGATATCAAAGTCTCTGAAATAATACCATGGGGGGCTGACGCGATGGTAACTTTGGAGTTTACCGATGGGAAATACGCGATCGTAGCAAGCAACAATAAATATCTAAGTGCCGGCGGTGATTTAAAGAACGAACTTTCTGACGATTGTAAATTCTCGTTAGAATTTCACCAGACGAACCTGGCGTTTAGGGATCACCAGGGAAAATATTTGACCGCAGTTGGCACTGGAAGACTKCAAACCAAGAAAGAAACGGTCACTAAAGATGAATTATTTGTGATTGAGGATAGTCACCCTCAGTGCTCATTCATCGGTTGCAATGATCGTCGAGTTTCAATCAAGCAAAGTAAGTCATACTTGAAATAATTCACGTTTATTACTGCTGTGGTGGTTTTCACGTGGTTGGTTGATTCCGATATGCTAATTYGTAGTGTTTATATTGAAATCGCTGTGTTTGCATGGCTATTGTATTTTATCGGTGTGTGTTTGCTTGAACCAAATGACATCGAAAGACAAGCAAACCCTTCCACGTGCCAGTTGTTACGATAACACTATCGATTGAAAACGCATCTAACCGTACATAAATACTTRTATAACTCACGCTTCAAGTCGTTAATAAATGACGCTTGTCAATTTCAATAGTCACACTCGGCTAGTGATCTTTATTCAAGCGATCATTGAAGTACAGTAATATTAAAAGAAAAGAAAACAGCTGGTCTCCTTTSATCAATTCAAAACCATTTTATATGAAGACTATAGAWGCCCGATGTTGAAAGAACTAGTTTTTGTGGMAMGATTGTCATACCGGAAATGGCGTTACCYTTATAAATCGCWCTAGAATTGTTTTTCTTTGTTCTCTGATCGGTGGAATTTGATTGTCGGCGTTTTCTTTAAAGGAGTTCAAAGTGTTTGATCGAAAGCATGACATGTTTAATTCCTAGCTAAAACGAAACTGTATAAATCCACTTAAATCGACATGTAGTTTATCTAAGGTTCCATGTCTGATTCAGAACACACCCAATTCAGAAGTCAAACACAATTATGATGCGGTTAATTGGGTTGCTATCCAAAAATGCCCGTGAACTATCCGTGATCAAAATCTATTATTGTTCTAAAAAGGAAATCTTTGGTTGTTTGGTCACCACAAAAAAAATGCAAGAGGAATTATGTCACCAATTGAAATGATTGTTAGTGGGATTAAAATATGAATTAATATTTCTACTCAAAATAACAGCAGTGTTAACACTAGTAAAAATGTTTTTATTCTGCTTATTATATTATTTCATTGTTCTCTGTTAGGCTTCGTTTTGGTGGCAGAAGTGTGACAAATTTGAATGACACACCCATACTGCAAAATAATGATTGAATTAATGATGTTGATATTTAAAAATCTCATTTTTACCCCTTAAAAGGGCAGTGTAATAGACTAATTAGAGAGCAATATATTTTTCACCCAAACATCTTATTATRAAGAACCATCTGCAATGAGTCACAAATTTATCAAGTTAACACACCTACCGCTAAACTTTATGACTTTTCTGTTCTCTTTAACAACAATCTAACTTAGTAAGCTTGAAATAATTTACAAAGATTACAGCATTCRAATCATTAGCCATTGTGCCGAATATATTATAATTTAGATTATTATTACAAATTTGACAATTATAAGTAGTTTTTCTTTGCAAGGGGTACTCCTTTATAAGATATTTTTTTACAAAGATCTATTTGTGTTACATTATATGTTTATTTGAGTAAGGTCTTTCAGGTTTTTATCTTGTAATATGCCAATGTGGCCATACTTGTGGTTATAATGARTTTATCAGTCGACAAACAAAAGAATTTAATTGTGACATCTGTTTTTATTAGTGAATATATTTACTGATTTATTGTAACCGCTTGAACCTAAGGTGACTAATAGAAKAGATTGTTTGATATATATCTCTTTCTTATCAGTAGTAGGTAATTTCATTGCTTTGTGTGCAGAACTTGAGATTTGAAATCTTAATACTGATGTTTCGCTTTCCAGTTATCCAATTGTTAGTGTATTTTACTGATGTKTTGATTCTCAGCAATGGTATATCACTAGTTTTTTTCTGCGGTACAAACTTGTCTTTTATTCACATTTTCATAAAGGTGAAGTGACACAAAATATAAATAGCTTACTTGGAAGAAAAATATTAAAATAAAACAAAACATGTTTTGACATATCAGTTGTTTTGGGTAAAATGGAAATGACACTCCTTTTAAAACGTTCAACTTGGTGACAGCTAGTCTCAATACAGGATTCAATATCACTCTTGACATGTACATTGCTGTACAYGTTACTAGAATCACAGGCAAAAKGCGTCAAGTWAAATCAAACAAAATTCAAWCACTGATGCAGTTGTAGCACTTTCGTTCTTTCACAAATCATAGTACAATAATTTTTTTATTTAAACACTTATTTTACTTTAATCTTTATTTGTTTATATTCCTAAGGAAGTTTTATTCTTTCCTTATAAGGGAAAGTCCTCTGTAGGTGTTGGATTACTTTTTTTTACACCATATTGTGTTGTCAATGATCCAATTTCCCGAAATCTGTTCAGTCCTGTTAATTTCTATAAATATCATACGGAAATTATCCCTATTAAAAGGTTAAAAGGAAATAGCGCTTTCAATGCACAGTGGTTAAGTCTGAATTCGTTTCCTTTTGTGTTTATTTGATAATAATACATATTATTAGTTATCAAAAGTTTAGGAAACAATTAAATGATTTCCTGTCAAAGAAAAAAAGGATTTTTGACATACCTTCACTTGAAGTTTCATCCCCAATATATTGATTTTTTGACATACATGCAGCTGAAGCCTGAATAGTCTTCGCCACGTTTCCCTGCGCCATCTTGAAAGGTAGCCGTGCCTTTGCATCGAAGTGAGACGACCCGTTGAGTGCAATGATAGAAACATTCTTTCACACCTACAGAAAATTATTACAGGTATCTATCATTGCACGCTCAACGTGTTAAGGTAAAGGCTTCGAGAGAGGGCATGGAACCACGAAGGAAACAAATGAATTGCAAAGTTTGTTGATGTCGAACAATGAGACATTCTCGTATTTTTGGAGTTGAATCAACCAACACTTGAACTATTAAACTCAGAAAATTAATTTTAATCTTATCAAGGAAGCTTTTYTGAAGTAATATTTAACTAACGCTGCTGTTTAAAATATGTTCGAGAAAGCTTACAAGAAAAAYATTGTGTMCGTTTTTCAGGCACAGATGTGAAAGTCAACCAGGCCGACATCTCCGACACTGAACTGTTCCAAGTAATTTTCAAAAAAGGCAGTAACAAGGTGTCATTCCTTAGCAGCAACGAGAAGTACTGGGTCGTAGAGAAAGGTGTTGTCAAGGCAACCGCAAGCGAAGTCACTGAAAGTGGAGAGTTTGAATTGGAATGGCACGATACCCAAGTGGCCTTCAAAACGAGCTCCGGAAARTACTTGATATCCAAAGGCAACGCCCCTCTTTCTGATGCATCAGACGAAGTTAACGCCTCTGGGCTGTTCATAATGGAGCTTATCAACCGACCACTCCTTGTTTTACGAGGGGATTATGGCTTCGTTGGCTGCAAAGGTACTTCAAATAGGCTCGAGTGCAACCGTGCTAACTATGATGTTTTCCACATGGAGGCAAATCGTGGATTCTACACGATCAGTTCTTCCAAGGGAAAGTATTGGCGCACAGAGGATGACGGTAGTATATCCGTCTCTGGCGATCAGGCCGGCGCTGACAAGTTCCAGATCGAGTTACGCGGGCGCAATGGGCTGTGCATCAAGTCGCCGAACGGGTGTTATCTCAAAGGGGAACAAAATGGTACCTTCAACGCCAAAGGCTCTGAAGTCGGAAAGTACACTTTATGGGAATACTAGGAACTAACTCTACCTTAGTACAATGACTATTAAACGCTTCTAAATTGTAGAATKAACTAGAAGTGATTGTAAAACCTTGTTCTAATAAGATCTTTAGAGACTTAAAGTGAATGTTGCCTATAGCATAAATAAGCATTTTAAATGTAAACAATTGAACCATTCTTTAGGAAACGGATTGTTAAAATTATGAGCATTTTTCTTGAATGGTAGATAATTAAGACAATGAACTATTAAAATTTTGGCGTTAATGATCTATCGCAAAGAAAAAATCACCAAGAAATAGTTCATATTTTTTAAAATATGTTCAGGAAAAGCTCTCGTGCTAAAAGTTTTSCATCTTTTATTTTTGCAACTGCAAATTTTTATTTTCAAATATCAATATTTTAATTTTGTCAAAAAGTTTAAATGTTAAGCAATTTGCTAGCTTATATGAGAGAAACGACTCCTGTGTCTGAAGCAGGAGTAATATATGAATTKATGAGGAAGTTGGATGACGGTAGTTGGATATTAGTACAGTTTTGACAAATATTATTAAATAATTAAGTCAAGTAAGAATTATCAAGCAATTATGCATTCATTATTATTGTGTTAGAGTGTAAAAATTAATATTTTATAGTGTGTCATTGTAACAATAAAACTTTAAAACGAGAAATGATTTTTATTTCAATCCCCCCCCCCCCCCCTCCCCAAAATCAATTGATTTATACTTTTCGCCATTCAAACATCTGTTGTAAAAAATAACAAAGGTCTTGGCCCATATGACATGGTAGTAGCCTCGTTGATGTCACGAGATTGAATTACGAAGAATGTATTGATATGATATACTGTGTAGCCTCCCATCCGATTCCCATTCAACTCTTCAATAACCTCCTAACCAACTTCTTCTCGATGTGTCTCATAACATAGTGATCTACTACCTCATCAAATGTTTCTGAAATGTGTTGAATTCCAAAGTGTCTTTCCAGGTTTCGAACKCGAAGATAAAGTTCTTGCATGTTATCCTCATTCCCAGTGTTCAAWGMTKTTTCCTGGAATAATTTGAASGATTTTGCGCGTTTTTGTTCTTTTTTATYTTCTTCATTGCTTGAYACYTCCCATTTAGTTCGTATACCAGTYAATGATTTAAACTGCTCCACAACAAAGTCAATTAACTCAAAGTCATTCCTCAGTTTCTTGTTGGAATGTTTCACTTGTTGAAAAGAAGCGATAATCAAGACAATAAGAATATTTAGAAGGAAAAACTTCATGATAAACATGWACGCAATGAAAGAAATCGCTCCAAGAGTACGAAARGGATTCATGAATTCCTCGAAACTGAACTTTCCAAGCATGACACTCATGAGTTTGGCCATTGATCCAACCATAGAACTAAAGGATTGGTACTCRCTTCCAAGCATGGAAAAATATAATTGTGAAAATGCGATAAACACAATGATGAAAATAAAGCAGAAGTTGATGATATCTCGAAGAGCATGCCGCAGAGTGTGCGCAAAGAGATATATTCTTTTATTGAAGCTTAGTAGCTTCACCATTTTCAAGRAACCCGCGAAGACCGTCAAGGCCATAAGGTTCTCAAACACCACTTGCCACGCAGARATRTAGTGAAAATTTGTAAACACGTCAGGGTTTTCTTGGTACTGATTCAATGTCCACTTTCGAATACCAAAGCATATGAAATAATGAGCAATAGAAGCCCAAGCTAAAATCACAATGATAACCTCGAGCCAGTTCCACATCTCTTTGAAATACTTCCATCTCAGGATGTACAGTTTCTTACCCTCTCGATATGTAAAATATGTGATAAACATAAGAAAGAAAACTTCCATTGCAACAATGAATATCTGGAAATCTCCAACATAGCGGTAGAGTCTATACGTTAGAAATTCATGTTTCAGTATAAAGCCCCCAGTTGGGAGAACCTCCATCAGGACAGTACAGGCAGTAAACAGATTACTCGACGGATTGTACACATTGAATTCGACGAAAATTGCTCTGGAGTAAACGTCGACCCACAATTCTGCCTTTGCATTGCGTAATTGTTKTAGAGCCTTGTAGTAGAYACGTGACATTGTAAGAACGTACCCTCCTCCCGAGTACKTCTCGACGTTACCCTTAAAAGGAAAACCAGTGAGTTTTCGTGCGCTGTTATACTGCCAAGGCGTAGTTCTAGCTAGTTYAATGGCGTTGGATGAGTTTAGTGTCACCCATCCTGGGTCATAGTCTTTATGATCTTCGTCATCTGTCGAATATGGAGCTCTACATGTTGGTATAACTGAACTRGCATCTTTAATAACCTTGCAGCCACCTAAACATAMCAAAGCGCTAAGATTAAAGACTTCAASACTTATGGTCCTACTCAAATCAATCGTCMCCCTTTCCACAAACTCCATGCACTATGCATACGAGAAACACACTCATAACGTTATCATAAGTTTAGATTATTTGAATGTATTAMAAGTGTTCTAACCTTTCGACACTCTGTTTTGTCGTAATCTAGCCACACCTACAACCATTCCTGAGTCTCCTTGTACTAATGAAGTAGGTTTTCCAGAGTAGAAGTACCATGGGACATTATATAAAACCGGTAAAACCAGATTCTCCAACCATTTCCACATGTCAGCAATTTTATGAGCCTATCAWTAGGAAAGAAATCTTGTTAGATGAAGGTGTTGTTAGTTTTYRAAAGCTCCACACCCAAAATGAATTCTTAGCAATGCCAGATCGAGAATTAATGAAATCCAACAGGGATGAGCTCGTATGCGAAATTAGAAAAGCCTTTCCAGCGCTATTTCCTCTACAGCGACTTTTGTACGAATAAAATTTTCATAGATATGGAAACGTGTTAATAATCAGTAAATAAATCATCTGTACCTTGTCAAAACGATCCGGCAAATACCCCTTTCCAAGTCCTGAATAGTTTCTTCGCAATAAAAGTCCTTCAATGGATTCCTTTTGTAAAAATGAGCTCTTATCGCGTTGGCCATAGGCTATCAGTAACATTATCAGCATGAAAGTCAGATAGCTTATGATGTCTTTTAGTATTACACCCATTTGCTTTTCCTGTTGTAGTCTTTTTCGCGCCATTTCCAGTGTTTCTTCAGAAGGTTTTTTTGGAGGGGCCTGCACAACCATCGATGAATGCGCCGGTGAGCTGCACTTGTTCAACCATTTCTTCTTCTCTTTGTCGTCGTCACTGGTCGATTTCTCATTAAGCTGTGGTTTCTTTATTATAAAAGCAAAAGCAACCGCAATTGCTATGACTTTTACTGGCTGACTGACAAAAATATCCTGGGTGACAGATACAAACATTGACAATAGCCATTTCTCTGATGTTCTTTTACCAAACTGTATTCCATACAGCAGTGTGACGACTGTTGCTGCGAGTGAGGTAGTACCAACTCCCAMCCAACCAATGTAGCGGAACCAGTAAGGCAAACCGCCGAAACCTTTCTTTTTGCTCTTGCTTGGTTGCTCTAGATTGTCGTCACTTTGCAAAAGATCTCGTTTGTCCGAGTTGTCKTTTTTGAGAAAATTAGCYGAAATTAGAGAAGCCGCTGCTGCCTGAACAGCAGGAAAGATCCCGCGATGCTTCGGAGAGGYCTCATTGTCTGATTTGAAATCGATTTGGACTGACGAAGCTCGTAAACGAGAATATTTTTCATTGCTTAGACACTCGAAAGGCAATACCCTGTTGTTGCTTTTAAAAGGGGARCTCTTTTTAGGGATTTCAGGAAGTTTTCGCAGTTTACTGTGACGAAATATCTGAACCAGAGCAACATTGATGGGGAAWACRATAAGGCTACTCATTATTCCTATTGATACTTGCTCCCACGAGAACTCTAAAGGTCCGAGCTCTACCTTASTGTACATCCCTTCGTCTGCCTTGTACCACATTGCATTGGCCATCATGGTACATAGAAGAAGAGACAAGCAACAAGATACTCGCTGCACACGGGTAAACACGCTGTGAGGTGGTCTCCAGACTACAGAGAACCAAAGATGAGAATCCGTCAAGTCTTTCTTGGTTTTGCTTAAAAACATTTGTGTAAACTGCACCATTTCTTCATCACTGGTTACTGGAAGAACKCGGTCAATCAATCCATCRCCCTCATCTACAGCAAACCACCGATTGCACAGAAAGTGAAAYACCTTCTTACTTTGAACATCACGAACGGAAATTTGTTTTAAAAACAATGCAGGGTCTCGTCCTCGATTATCGTGCCATATTCTGATGTGCACAAGCTGGCCAAGAAATTCTTTAGTGGTGAGGAGGAAAGTATGGCTAACYCCACGCTGTAGCGTTCGATGRGTGTCAATGTCTGTCAACARGTAGGGGTCGCTGTCATGAAGCTCACCATACATTATAATAGCMGTGYTTGCCGTCGTGCCAGCCCCTCTTCGAATTCCCGTCGTAACAGTGACTTCGTAGATGTAGTTATTTTCAGGTTTATTGCTTGGACTGACACACACTCCAACCTAAAATACATAATGATGTATAATAACCCTGTTTCTATATTATCATTATAGCAGAAAGCTTAAGTGCGTGAAGGCAGGAATGATGCAGTTGCTGGAGTCGTCGCCCCGAAATTGTTGCTGTTGTTGCTGGTATTGTTGTTGWTGTTGATGYTGTTGTTCGTATTGTTGTTGKTGTTGGTGTTGGTGGTGTTGTTGTTTTTAAGGACATTCAAGCAAACGAAAATGCTTTTAAGAATTTCTATTGAATACTCTCATTTGATACCTTTAATTCATCTTTTTTGTCCTCTCGTCTTGCCCAGACAACCACCAAAATATATACTGCCCAGATTGTACACATTACGGACAGCACTGCGGCGTAGTTCACAGGGTCTTTGATCATTGTCGCAATTTTGTCTATGTCGAGTTTGTTTGGCGGTACAAAGAATTTACCTCCAAACCAGGTTAGATGATTGCATAAACAGTGGATTTGCTGATGGTTGGTTTCAGGGCCAACCTAAAGAGAGTGCATTAATWYTTAAGTTTCTAGTCTAGATGTGTCTGCATATTTTGAAGAGTTAAACTTGGGTGCATCAATGAATTCGTTAATTTGTGAGGCAAAACTTTGTGACTACTTAATACTATCCATKAATGCATTCCAGCAATATGCGAGTGTGTAACATAAGGATCGAGGTCATTATATGTAAGCAAGATAGTAAATGATTATGCAATTCATATACTAACCTGACATCCATACGTGCTCCACTGTTCATCTTTTTCATCCCAGTACATACAGCTGACTACATTCAAAGTTATATTATACATCAAAGGCTCCAGGGAATCACACCATTGGTYGGTCAAGTTATTATGAGATATTCCCAAGTAAAAGGAACCTGTTTCATTCAAATGTTTCTTCCAGCTGAGTAGGACCTTCATGAGGTTTTCACCGGTGGTGATATTCCACCTCAAGTCGTACTTGGTCGATGTAGGTTTTTGACCTCTTTGCCAGAACACTGTACATGATGAGGAGCAGTTGACCTCTAGATTGACAGCTATGTTTGGTTCMGTGATATTTATRYTGTAARAAGTAATGTTCTCTACGCATGCGTCAATCTGGCCATTTATGCTTCGTTGGTTGTTGGCTGTGTTTTCTAGGAATATAGCGATTGGATGAGAAAGGTTGTTCACAGCAATGACATTGCCTGCAGGATCTTGCAGCTCTAAGCTCGACACCGGACTTGCAATGGGTGCACTGCCTTCGGTCTTAAAGGGCGACTGCTGGAGGGTCAACACCTGAAGATTTGTAATTAAAAGAGGTGTTAAATGTTGTGATATTTCGGTCAAGGGATGGAATGGAATCAGATCATACGTTTACCGTACCTTAGTATCGACAAAGCCAAGGTTCTCAATTTTTTCACCAAGCCCTCTGTTAGGCATGACGAACTTTGTTCCAGTCTTATCAAATCTTTTACTCTTAACGCTAGAAGGTTCTTCTCTGTGGACAGCTATTTGAAGTTTTGATGATTTGACAGTTGTAGGCTCGTTACCGGACGTTTTCCTGCTTACTAGTGCTCTCGCTATCTGATCTGCTCCTGTCAGGCATTTTAAAGCTGCTTTATTGCTCTAAATCATTGGAGAGAGAGATAAAGATATAATGTTGTTTTATTCATCTAGACCAAAGGTCAGTTTTTTGCAGAAAGAGCASGTACATGAAGTGATGAATAAGGATAATGCATATTTTGAAAAAGTAGGCATTATTTGATTGTTTAATCAAGGGTTTATGGTTCCAAAAAGCACKCAGAATTAGACTGAAGAATTTGTGAAAACATCAGCCTCAATAATGAAGTGTCAATCTTTTCACATCACAATCACCTGATTATTGTCCTACACCATACCTTCTTCAATGTTTCTTCATTCCCTTTCTGGTTGCTGTCATCAAGCCAATCAACCGCTGTTTTCTTATTCTCATTTGCCCTGGTGGTTGATATTTCAGATGCCTCAAGAATATCCGATAAACCCTCAACCACTCCTTTAGATTCGTCATCGATGGAGTTGTATTGATATTTTGTGGCAAGACTTTTGGCCATTTTCTCGTATCCGTCAGCGCCATTAATCTAAAAATTMAACATTCAACATTAGTTTAAAGATCAGGACACTTAAACCTATGTAAAGTACAATACATCGGTCATACTGCTGGCCTATAAAAGAATTATACTCATTTAGATTATAGATATGATCTGCTCCATTTGGATTTATGTGTTGCGTACGTTGAAATGTTAATACAATGAGCGAATTGAAAGTTTGCCTGTAAACGAGTTACCTGAGAATCTGGGGCAACTTCTTTTGGCACTCTTGTAGCACCCTGTAGGCCTCCTAGAATCTGCCTCAAACTTGGTAAACTTGAACAGCAGCCGCTGGAGAACTCTTTCGTCATTACCAAGCGAACCTATGAGAATAGATTATTAGTTTATTAATGTGGTATTGCTTTGATTTCGCTCTGGATGTTGCTTTACAAGTAATTCATCATGGCTCGGCCATGATATATGGACTATGCATCTTTTTAGTCCGCGTGCCCATGAAGGATTCTTAAAGTACAATGTACCATAAGGTGTGCGCAAGGGTATTCATTTGGGTAAGGTATAATTTACCTGTTCTCTCTGAGAATGACCCGCGGGATTACCCGCAGATGAATCCTGGTTCAGTACAGTTGAAATTGTTGTCATTAGCTGGAATGCCTGTTGTTGTTCTCCGCYAACCAACATTTTACCAAGTTTACTGGAAGGACCTTGAACATAACCATTAAGTATTCCACTTACAGGGCCATCAGACTCATCAAATCCCATCACCTAATACGGAAGAAGATACAAACGTTCATAAATTAGATACATCATATCATATCGACTCTCTTTGTGCCGAATTATGATCCTAGTTGACCAACTCAGGTTCAGCAATGCCGCTGCCCGTTTCAGCTCCAGTTATTCACCTCTCGCGATTTGCTCAGATATCCCAGTCTGCGTCATATCCGGTTTGACGCAGGCTAAATATCTTTGCCTTTGAATAACATCAACAGCCTTTCATCTTGGATGAAGGACTGCTGCATTCTTACCTGCACCTCCAAGGAAACGTTTCGTCGTGATCCTAACATGTCGACAATATCCACTTTTATATTAATCATATTGTTGTTCTCAGGGTTTCCTGGAGGGAGGTACAGCAATGGAGATTGTGACGACCATCCATATGACATTAACATCCATCCAGCATTCGTGTCATTGTAGTAGAACTCGTACCACAGTGGTCTGTCCTTGTCTTCCCAATGCGAACATGTAACTTGGAAGGGTGTTTCGATTGTCTTTCCTGTTTCGGGGTGTATTTTGCAACGTCCACCAACTGGCAGGTCGTCAGTTCGTAAAACGTATTCAGACTTTATCAAAGTATTCTTGATTGTCACTTCTACACTAACTGTATAAGATTTGTTGGGCTGAAGATCCGTGTGTGTGATTACAAATTGTCTCAGAGGTTGTTTGGAGATTGCTCTCTTAGTCACGTGGTGGTGATGTGGTTCAGATATCCTCCACTTGTAGTCGACGCTGGTGTTTTTACTTCTTTTAATGGAAAGTATGACAGGCTTGAATAGAAGAACTCTTGGTCCACAGTTGTCGACACATCTGAAAGAAAGTATAAGCCGGCCATGATGATTATGATGAAAATATCGTTAATTGATAATCAACATCATCATTAGGGGTGCTAATGAGTATTGAAATGGGCATSTGTCTTACCTAATACAAAGTTCTGGTACTTCATAGCTAACGACTTTTATCGTTTGACTTGTAGTTGATTTCTTGCGGCCATCAAGTGTTTTCACTTCTACAACAAAAYTGTAGCGTCCATYCTTAAGCAATTGTCTTGGTAAGCGGAGAACCGCGGCGTTTCTTGTRMCGTTAYCAAACCATGAAYCATTTATTTCTCGACAAAACCAGTGGAATCCCAAGTTTTGACTACCTGCCTTCGGATTGGCTGGATCGTATGACAGCGAAGCATTTAAGATGACGTCCTGGTCACGTGACACTGTTTGGACGCTGCCACATTCGATCAAAGCCACGAGACTTGTGTCACGCACTCTAAGAAATCCATGYCCTGMTTTAGAGGCGTTATGTTGAAGCGAGCTTACTGTTAGTAGTACTTTGTATAACCCTGGGACTAAGGTGTAAGGTGGAAGCCCTAGCTCCCTTCCATCAAGAGCGACWTCGYTAGATACATCGTATATACTTGAGAACGTTTCGTTATGAACACTSATAATTACCCATTTGAACACCATAGCGGACTCACAATGCACCTTCAAAGACGGTGACAATGAATACTCGTTCTGAGGGAGAATGGCAGGTGCTGAAAGTTTGTTATCTGACACGCCTTGGAGTGCGACGTCATAGATGACGCACTGTTTATTAGCTYTGATCATGATGCGTTTGCTTATGGTTGTGTTAGGACCAACAAGGCTTGTCACAGAAATTTTGACCAGGTACTCACTTGGCGTGGAATACCTATGTGTAAAGGAAGACTTGGATGGAAAYGTTGACAGAAAACCATGAGTGACAYCTAGACGACRATTAAAGAAAATAACATTCAATWATGATGTAAATTATTATTTCAATCGAGTTGRCTACCCTAATATCCTACCTCCATCACCATATTCAACTTTGTATGTGACATTGTTTCCCTCAGAGACTTCAAAAGCTACACCGACAAGWGACTCTTTCAGGATCTCTAGTTTGGTCATTTTAAACCCGTCAATCCGGTTTTGTACTGGTATTTTACAGTCTACTGTYACTTGTTCMTGAACATTTGATASTTTACATCTTACAGYGTAGATGCCATGTTGTTTAAAAACATGGTTTATCGACCTGTTTCCAGATTCAAGWCGTTGTTCATTGATGTACCATTCATACTTAATTGAAGCGTGGCGATTCATTGTTAAAGTCTGAATTAAAGTTTCTTCTSCRACGATACCACTTCCTGGACATACAAGAGACGCATTTGYGATTGATGGTATGATTGAAGAAGTAGACGAGGCAGTGACTTTGCTTGGAGATGGTGAGATAGACGACGATACTTGTGGTTGTTCTGWGGTAGWTGGTGCTGTAGTAATTGTCGAGAATGTTCCAGTCGCTGTAGATGACAWWGCAGTTGYCGTGGGAGTCAATATTACTGAAGAGGTAGTCGGTTTTAACAATGTAAATGTCTTGTTTATTCTCAACCATGAAATCTGATTACTGGCATTAACTATTGCATACCCAGGATCTATGTTGGTAAAGGTGTATTTCACTGAACAACTGGACAAAAAAATAGATGATGAGCCGTCCTTTATTATCCACCTGCATCCAACATTATTCCCCTTGGACGTGATGGCTGTAAAGGTGCAAGTGACACCTTTTTGAATAGAGCTAGGGCAATCACTTTTTATTTGTAGTCCGCTGATTTTATCAATGGACTTGATGTTTCGTCTTATATTGATTTCAGGCCGATCTTTGACTGTACATTGCACATGATAGCCTGACTTGACATTCTTAGCAAAYACATGCTCTGTAGAAATAGAATCAGTGTTGCTAGTWACACTGTTGCCATCCCCAAGATTTAATACCAACTCTACTTTGTTTGGGGCATCTGTTCCTTTATTACCCGTCAAATTCATTTGCTGGAAAAACTTCATACTTGAGCCTCCCGGCCAAAGCAATTTGCAACCAACATACTGAACAGCACCAGCCTCAACATAATGAGAAATATTTAAAATAAGAGGATTGTTAATGACTTTAGTTGAAATATCGTACTTTTCGAATGTTACTTTGTTTTGTGCGTACAAAACGATATCGTCACGTCCTAGAGTCGTCCAGATATGAGTAATTTTTGGTGAATGTGTCGAATATGCTTTGTTTTCAAATAACCAGTCGTATGCAACAWAGTTTCCCTGTGATATACTTGTGTTCAAATAGGTCACAGCTCCTTKGTACACAAAACCTTCAGTGTATGTAAGAGACGCTTGAAGACCAAGGACTCGAAGACGTACTTTGATGTTAAAATGTTTTGATTTCTTGGAAACCATGTTWGMTGCCTGGAATGAAATRTCCACACTCTCATCGCTCTCATAGARCGTGATGTTCTTTCGATAAACAAAACCATTGGTTATTACACCCTGTTCTTCATATGGTGCATATGGAAACGTTTTCCCATCAATGTTCAACTCAAATGACACGTTTGTCCCCTCTTGTGCCTGGAAAACAAGAGGTTTACTTTCGTTCACGATCATGAATTCTTCAATTTCAGTGTAGGAAAAATCTGTTATTCGTTTCTGGAAAATAATGGTAGCACTTGCATTTCTTGTTGACAGTTGGTTAGAGAACTTGGCATTGAAAGAGATAATGTCTGGATTTTKATTGCAATACCTAAATCGATAATGCACTGGAAATGAGCCATGGACGCGAACAGCAAATGTCTTTCKCTCAGCAGATTCTGTATCGTTGACATTATACAAYACACTCGTCTGATTGGTCCAGAAAAGTGCGTCCTGTGATTGGTTATTMGAATGAGAGATGGTTTTGATACAGTTTACATCATTAGATGTCCATCCMACAACGTCGCCAAAATACGCTGAAGTAGACTTAATTTTCGCAGGAACTGGAACGAAATTGTATCCAGTTGTAAGGTCGACATCAAAAGATGATACGCTTTGATATGGGGGTTTGGTAAGCAAACATTCGGCCGTTGTGTTGGTGGTGCATTGTTTTCTGTATATGCATGGAGTGCTACATGCATTCTTGTTGATTGCAGACTTTGCGCAAAACGTCTTCTTGTTGCATGKCTTTTCACAGGGAACTGTGTTTGGTCGAAATATCTGTAAAACATGAAATTATTATGTTAAAGTTCTTGGAATGAAAATGTATTAATTTTGTCGTAAATTAATCTGAAATTTCATAAATTTGAGAATCTAACAAGAGCATTCTGACCAGCAACTAAAACATCGAAGCGGCTTCAAACTCTCGACTACGCCTCGATGTGCTGAGTCAAACACGTGATCATGCGCACAAGAGAAAACCTCTCCAAACGGTTATTCTCGTAAGGCGCTTCTTTTTAAAACGATGATTCTGAAGTTTATCCGTTTTCCCATCGTTTCTTTTTGGACAGGACCTTAATGAGAATGTACAAGAAATACCTGGAGTTTCACGGAGCATTYCCTAGTCGCCACTATCTCCCACGCCTCGATGACTGTTGTATCGCGAAATTGTAAACCAGGCAAGATGTACGTTCCTTTTGTCTTATTTTCTAGACTACTGTTGGTGGATAGTGGTTCAAGATGACCTATCCTTAACCGTTCTTTACCTGTGAATAACAAATATACGAAACGGTGAGGCTATCGTGGTGGATATACAAACATTTCCGGGAATATTTATATCTTGAAGTTTATGACAATGGACTAACAGCTAGCTCAGATAAGGTCATAAATCTAACAGAGATTCCATTTCAGATTTACAGGACTGGTTAATTAATTTTTTTTTAGAAGAAATAGAACTAAACTGCACATCAGTTTGATGGTGTGCACCCTATCTTATGAAGACGAACCTGAACCCCTCCCACCCCTCCCCCCTTTAGCTGCTCTGACCCCGCCCATAATATCAATAAATAAGTAAATAACTTTCTATGGCGTTCTACCTGGTATTACTATATGAATTTTTTCATCCAGACTTCCATTCGTATATGTGTCTATCTCAACATCGATGCTAGAACCATCTAAACCGTTGAGATGACATTCAGAAAGGTAWGTAGTACTTGCACTATAAGGACATGACATATAGACGTTTGGTATTCGTTCCTGGACGATGACGTCACGTTCCAGTAAGAGTGACTGGTGATTCGATTGGTTGATATGTCCAGATACTGTGTATCGGCCCTCTTGGGTAAACCAGTGACTTATTGTTGTGTTTATTTGAGATATTTTGCTTGCTGTGCCATCTCCAAAGTTCATTTGAATTGAGGAAGCGTTCTCGGGTAATTTTATATCAGGA